AGCGGGGCTGGGGTGTGCGGTGGTTCTTAGCAGGGGATGGCTGTACGCTTGGCCCTGGCTACAGGTCCTGGGAGAGAAAAAAGGGGGAAATTATGCTTTTGGTGTCGTGCAGAGAAACCCCTGTGGGCCATCGGACTGGAGCAGCTCCTCAGAAGGAAGAAGGGCGTGGGTGATGCTGCCCCGCTCCCACCGAAATGCCAGGGCTGGTGCCTCAGGTCTCCCCAGGGCCCTGCGATGGACCCAGCCCCGGCCCCCCTCACCATGGGTGTGTAGTTGTGCTGCTTGACGGCATTGTAGCCAAAGGACAGGGCTGCCACTGCCACGCAGAACTCGAGGAGGCAGAAGATGACGAATATGGAATCCAGCCCGTCGCTCAGGCTCTGTGAGGAGGAGAGCAGAAGGGTGCTGCAGGTCCTGCTCACTGGCAGCACCCCTTGTTTCCCTCCCCTGCATGGCGATCGCCCTGTTTGCTCATCCTGCACAGCAGCAGGAGGCTCAGACCCACAGCCTGAGCAGGACTGGAATTCTCTACCTTGTTCTCAGCATCAAAGCACCACTCGGCTTTCAGCTGGTACAGTGTGTTAGTCTCACAGCCAGGGATGTTGTGAGTGATGGCCGTGGTGTGGACAAGGGTGGCCACCAACGTGCTCAGGATGACCCCCATGTTGACGATGCAGCAGATCTTCACCTGTGTAGGTCACCTTGCGTCACCCATCAGCAGCTCTATCCCTTCTGGTCCCACCAAGAGCACAGGAGCTGTGCGGGTGGCAGCATGATGCCCACCGGGCCAGAGATCCCTGCGAGGTGCCACAGAGCCAAGGAAGAGGCCTCTTGGGGCTTTCTGTTTGAGCTGTCTGAGCAGAGGCACCTCTAAGCTGGATTATTCAACTCAGGTCAAATATACTCCTGGAGAAGCCACCCATGTCAGCCAACCTCCATGACACCTTTTCTCCCCATCACCCGAGAGTGACTCCACAAGGCCCTAAGCATCTCATGGAGGCCCTGAAACGTGAAGGATTGCCCAGACTCTGCTCAACAGGGAGAGAGCTGGGCACCTCCCATGGGTGAGACAGGCCTTAGGTGCCTCACTGTAGATCTTGCAGGGTGAAACCAAGCTGCTGGAAGGGACAGAAGTCACAAAAGCAATGGGGGAATGCTTTGTACCTCCCAGCCTGCCCACGGGGACTCTCTTACCAGCAAGATGTTATCTCTTTTTTCACTTTCCACCAGCAAAGAGCCTGAGACCAAGAGCTGCTCAGAAAACAGAGGAAGGAGGGCATCAGCAGCAAGGCACCCCTCTGTGTCACCCATCCCACATGTCCTGGGCGCCCCTCTGGCTGTGAATGGGTGTTCAGGGCTGCTCACACACCCTCTCCAGCCCCAGAGGGAGCAGCTAGAAGATGCCAGTGTAAGAGGAGGCCCTGATGACAAGAGGATCTGGCCCCTGATCCACTGAGATCCCCCTGTCATCGTCAGACAGCAAGGAGGTGAAGGCCAGGCGTGTCCCTGCTTACCAGAAGCCCGAGCCAGAAGAAGACCCCGCTAGCCACTGGGAGAGAAGGGCTCTCGTGCTCTGACACCATCAGGATGATCCCGAAGCAGATGTGGATGATCCCAGTGAAGATGTGGATGGTCTGGGGAGGGACGAGGGAGAGGGATCCCCCTGGTCACTCTTGGCCCAAAGTGCTGCCTGTCTGCCAGCACCAGCAAAGGATGGATATCACCATTGCTGTTAGTCATATCCCACCCTGATCCCGCTGTCACGCCACGTCCTGGCTGTGCCCTGTGGTGCCAAGAAGGGACTCAGGACAGCTGGGTGTGCTGGCACTTGGCACAGCGTCATGAGCCAGCAAAGGCAGCTGGTCCCAAACGTCACCTCCACCGCAGCCAAGGAGAACCTCAAGCAGAACAGTCTCTGGGGATACTCAGTCCCCGCTTTGCTCCTGAGGTGCCCCATCTCCCTGGGACTCCATGTCTCACCCCCAGGGCCTTGGGCTGAGCCCTTCTGAAGCCTCTGACTTGAAATGATGTCATGGTGGGTGCAGGCAGCCCGGAGCTGGAGGTCAGCTGGGCTGCTCGGGGGTCTGTGGCTGGGATGACCTCCGTGATGATCCTCACGCCTCCGGAGTCAGTCACCGTGGTGGCTGCCATCGCCTGTGGGCAGAGCAGGGCTGAAGAGCCGAGGCAGGTGAGGAAGATGAAGGATCAGGCTGGCTCCCACCCTGCCCGGGGACCAGCACATGGGACCTGTCCATGTGAGTGGTAACACAAGAAGCACTGACATCCTCTGACAAGGATGTCCCACACCCCATTTTGCACCCCACACCTCACACCCCACTCAGGTACCTCCTTCAACCTGGGCTTGTCCTCCTCTTCCTCGCCACCGCCACTGTTAGCGGTCCCTTCGCTGTCCGAACCTCCCTGGCAGGTGATGATGGGGCAGGGACGCGGTCCTGCTGCCCTTTGCTCCCTGCAGGAAGTTTGTTCATGGAAATCTCGTCAGGCCCGTCTTGCTCAACGAGGGGAGAGAGGCTGGCAAAAACCCCGCATGCATCCACCTACACACACGAGGTGGAAGGAGAGGGAGGCAGGGACGGAGCAGGGCTTTGCAATCCCGAGGTGGACACCCCCTCTGAGGGCTTCGCTGCAGCCTGGGGAAGGGGTTGGACGCTTGTCCCTTGGGATGCTCCAAGGAGGACCCCCCCCTGCCCAGTCATGGAGGAGTCCTGTCTGTCCCCAGTTGCAAGTGCTTTGCTCAGGCATCATCTCTGCAATTAGCCATGTGCCTGGCAAGGTCCTAACGAGGTGCTCGGAGATTCATTTGTCTGCCTTCATTACGGTCGCTACGAGACGGCCAGCCCTGGCAGTTTCCTTTACAGGAGAAAAAAAAGGAGTGAAACAGGACACGACACAAACGTTATAACCCCCGTTAATCTGTAAAGGTCCCGAGGAAGCGCCTTTATTGCCTTTTTATTTTCTTTGGGTTCTTCTTCCTTCACGAGCACCTCGACCCTGTGGGTCTGTCGCCGCTGGGGACAGCCCACCCACAGGAGCAAGCTGGGTAGGGGGGAGACGTGCAGCAGTGCCGGATGGCTCCGGCGGGAGCCAAAGGGAAAGGAGATGGGATTATTTCCGATAGGAAATGAGAGCTCAGCCTGGGAACGGAGCCACTGCACATGGCGAGGAGCTCCCGAGGGACAAGTTCGGAGGCCCCTTCTTCCCTCTGCCGGCCACCAGCCTCCAGGTCTGCCAGAAAACAGCAATATTTCCTTCATGGCCGCCATCCCCATCTGCTCGCCAGGAGGGCTGGGGTCCTCCACGCTGGCCTGCGAGGACGCTCTGTGTTTCCTGGACCTTCAACGGGTGTGGGGCAGGATGCTGGGTGCTGGTCCGTCCTCTTTTATCCTCATCCTCCCCTGTGCTGGGTAAAGTCCCCAGTGCTGGGTGCTGCAGAGATGCTCCAGCTCTGGGACCGCACAAGGGAATGGAGCCCCTCGTTCCTAAAGCAGCTCCTGTGCTGGAGAAAGGGACAAGGAACAAACGGGACGAGGTTTGACTCAAGCTCCATCCGTGAGACTGGACATGAGAGCTGATTCAGGGAGCGGAGGAGAGAGCGCGGGGCTGGCGAATGTGGCTCCGAGACCCCGCTTTGGGCTTTTTCCTGCATTGGAGGCTGCCAATGTCTGACCGCTGCCTGAGCTGTTTCTTGGTGAAACAGGAATATTTAGGTACAGAGCTCTGGTGTCTCTGAGCTTGGCCGCAGGCAGCTAGGCCTGGCATGGGCATCACCAGCGTTAGGGACCCCAACACCCCTGTCTCTGCTAGAAGAGACCACAGCCCGGTTCCAGCTGATTTTAGGAGCAGGTGGAGCAACTTGTGAAAGTGCCGTTTCCTTTCCTTTGGCCCTAGAGGGAGCTGAGACGCCTGGTTTAGAGGCACCTCGCTTCCAGAGCTCGGCAGAGGCTTCCAGCTCCAGGGCGTGATCCCCAGCCAGGGGTGAGCAGCAGCAGCCCCACCATCCTGGGCAGCCCTTGGGGAAACCAGGGGATCAGTAGTACCAAACCTGGGTGCAGGCTGGAGCTCATGGAAAGCGGCCACGCTTCGGTGTGTCCTGGGAAACCGGAGGGACCAGCGGCACGGCCATGTCCTTGGCTCTTGAGTTTGCAGAGACACTGGAACGAAGCTGTCTGGCCACATCCCTGTGTTTCTCTAGGGACTTTTCCGAAGGCTGAAAACCAGGGAACTGACCAGTGGCTGACTGGGGTGATGGCCACTACCCCAGGAGCAGGACAGTGCTGCAGAGAACACCAGACAAGCCTCAGCAGCTGAGCTGGGGCTACAGGGGAGTCTCAGCTCTCCCCTGTCCTGTTTTGGGTCCTTAGAGCCAAACCATCTCCCAAGGTCCTTGTCCATTAGCTAACAAGAAGGAGCGCAGTCAGTCTGTGCCCTCCCCATGCTCCCACGCTCCAGGGAATGGGAAGATTTTGGAACAGCAGCA